CCAGGGGGGGTGGGGGGGGGGGGGCGCGTCGTGTGAGTAGTTGATGGAGTGGAGTTTACTTCCTACGATGGGATGCTGTACCAATGTGACAACAACAACGCTGATCACACTCTTTCGGGGGGGGATTGATGTTCGTTAGTTTTCACTGAACGGTTTCGGGGACGCACTCGTGTTGCGTATTCTTGCCTGCCAGTCTGCTAATGCTCTACAACTACGGCTACAGGAGCGTGTCATACCCAGTCCATAGAACGCCTAGTAGACGGGCAGGTTCATCAAATCGGCGCGAAGCACGGCGGATCTAGGTGTGGCTGGGCGAACAACACGTTGTCAATACCGAACACTCCACTACTCTATCAAGGCAGAACACGCGGGACTGACTCGCCTTGACGGCACAAACGACTTTCCGCCGACCCAACTAAGCCAAAAAATCACATTGATTGTCTGCGTTGGGATACGGCAAACAACGAAACACCCAAAAAAGCACACTTGTCCGTTTGGCAACATGTCAAAACAAAAAAAAACACCCAAAAAGAACATTGTCCGTTTCACAATACGGCCAAAACGCCGTCTGCACGTGTGCTTCAGGTCCGCCTGCGCTACAGAACACACAAAAAACACGAAACACAAAGCGGCAGACGACAACCCACCGACAAAGGTGCTCGAACACGCAGAGGCAGTAGGCGTCTCGCTCTGGTCGCCGGTTGCCGTCGTGCAGGGAGCACGGCAAGTCGGCCGCGGCCGCCGCCGCCGCAGCCGGCGTCAGCGCCGCTGCTGCGCTGGTGACCGCTGTGTCCGCCGCCGGCGCCACACGCGAGCCGCGATGGGAGGCCAACTCGGCAAGCTGGTGGCGGTAGGAGAAGGGGAACTCCGCCCTATGGCGAACAGGTTTTTGTCGATGTCAAGGTGCCGGTCGTGGAAGCAGGAGAGACACAGCAGCCAGCGAGTGGGAGACGAAAGATGGTAGAGGGGTAGGCTTGGGGGGTTTAACTTTGGTTTCTTAGCATTAACATCAAGGTCACAAAGGTCTGCCACATCCGTGCCCGGCGAGACGCTCATGTCACGGGTGGACGACCCTGATGGCGGGAAAACATGCGCGCCCCATTTGACAAATCGAAAGCCTGTGTCGATTGTATAACGAAACTTCCACCTACAGCAGCAGGAGCAGCAGCAGCAGCAGCAGCAGCAGCAGCAGCAGCAACAACATACAACATCGCGTACAATCAGACTCGGCATGGCACGTGCGCATCACGACATAAGCCCGGACCCAAACAAGCCCATCAATAACGCTAACAACAAACAAACGAGTTTGCTACCGCCCACCTCTGGTTCAGCAAAGTCGATAACTCAGCCTATACGCTCAAATAGACTCAAAATAAGCCCAGTCGCTTTCTCTCCCAGCTGCAAAGACTCCAACACATCCCCTTCGACTACCACAGCAGGAGTCTCTCGATAAAGAGTAATGGCCGTCCGGCGACCGTATGTATGCACATTCTCCTGAACGAAAAAAGAGTCCGCCTCGCACACCTCGCCACCGTCCTGACCAGCCAATCCTCCGCTCCGAGCCTAGTCCAGAGCTCCGCCGCTGCCTCCTCGCCGATGGCGTAGAGCAGCTCTCCGTGAAGCGTGCCGCGGCCTGGCGCCGACCCTCCCCCCGGCACGAGCTGGTAGGACACTCGTCCGAGGGGCCCGGCGCGGAGGGCGGCCCCCGCGGATTCGCCGCAGTGCTCCACGTCCCACCTTGTTGTTGTCGGTGAAACGCCGCGGCGCAGCAGTTGTTTCGTGAGGAAGGAGGACTCTGGACTCTAGTCGCGGTGCTCTAGAAAAGGTAGGTGGTGGGGCGAAAGCAAGCAGCGCTGTCGTGCTGCGGGGAATAATAATGGCGGCAAGTCGTGCCAAGGAAAGTTGTTGCGGCGCTCTAGAAAAATGCAGCAAGCAGGGCTCTAGTGGCGAGGGGGCCATCGTAGCGGAAATATGATGGCAATGAGTTGATTGTTGTGATGCTCAATAACACGCACAAGTAGCGAGCGCTGTGTATGACGAGGAGTTGTTCTTGTGCTCTGGGAAAAGCGCAGCAGTAGCGCCGTCGTCGCCAATCAATTGGTGGGGACGACAGTAACTAATGCCGCAGAAGACCAACCAACCTGTCTACGAATCGCAAGAGGGCGTCTCCATGATGCCGTCCGCCCCTAAAGTGGATCTGGCTTCCCCCCCGCTCCGCCTGAACACGAAAAAGACGGAAACAAATCCGCCAGCAAAGCAAGAATAGCAAGCACACCGCGTAGCACAAAAGAGAAGGAATCGTGACTATTCGCAGCAGTGCAAGAGGGCGTACGCGACACGGGGCAACGGCTCCGCAGTTCAAGCCGCGGGATCTGAAGGAAACACCGGGTCTGCTTCTGGCAAGCACCTTAACGGTTGAAGGTCATGCAGGCACGGAGTGGTGAGAATTTATCGGCTGAGGGACATGCGGGCATACAGAGGCGGGTCGTCACTGCCACCGCTACTGCTTGCCGTGCGAGAACTAGAGACCAAGGCTGGCGTAGATAGACTCTTCGAGAAACATACCACTGCTCATGTTTCTCCCCTACAAACTGCTGATGTTTCTCCCCTACACGCGAAACCGCAAAAAACAACATATCGAACGAACAGTCACATCAACCAACAACTCGAAACACATGTGTACCCTTGCAACATTCTCCCCGCACATTTTTTTCTTTTTGACACATTTTGCGCCGATCTCATCTGCTATGTGCTGTCTTTCTGCACTGAGGAACTACGGTCAGGGGGTAACGCAGAGTAGAAACATCCCTTTTGCGGCGGTGCAAAGCCTCCAGTTCTTGTCGCCGCAAGCGTTCATAAAGCTTCTGCAAACACTCCTTCACGCCACCTAAACAAACCGTGCCCCCCCTCAATAAAACAACGAACGAACCCGAAGACCGACCAAGCACGCCCCCAACCCCTACCCCCACCTTCATGACCCTCTGCCCCCCCTCGCTACGTAACTCTCCTTACACCAAAACATTCTTGTCTTGCATCGTTGTCGGGAGGATAAGAACGGACCCGCCGACCGACCTACAAAGGAGAAAAATGATGACCACAAACTCAACACGAGACACTTGTGTAGCACACGCCCCCAACCGCTCTCCCCACCATACCTTCGTGACCCTCTGCACGATGCCCATGCTCTCCCACTTCCGCACCCTATCCCCGGCGGCAGGACCCGCGGGGTCGACCCGTGACCTCGTCAGCCAGCCCCTGGCGTCCGAAGCGTAGAACGCCTCCACGAAATGGGTGTCGGCCCCGGCCCCCTCCCGCACGGCATGGAGGGGGACGCTGGCGAGGGCAGATCCGTCGGGCCTCCGCATGCCGTTCAGGAGCTGGTAGGCGACCCTCTCCTCGCTGTCTTCGTCCGGCCAGGCCTTAGAAGGAACGGCACGGGGGGAGGGGTTTGCATGCCTTAAGCTGTTAGACCATTGGCCACGCGTCCTCGAGAGGGGCGAGGAAAGGGACAAAAAAGAACAAAAAGGAAATAATCAGCGAGGCAATCGCGTTGAAAAATTGCGCGGTGCATTGCAGTATATGGCACGACAAACTGCAGAACGGAAGGGTTTGCCGGGGACAGGAGGAGGGGGGGTCGATCCCCAGCCGACGCGAAATAACTCGAAAGTTTTTTTTTTTTTTTGTCATCACATTTATTTCCAGAGTTCGATGGGCGCCTTACCACACCGGGTATCTTGCCTGAACGTCTGAACCGTGGTCACACAGAAGGCTCCTCTCCCTGAGGCCCCACTCCCATCCTCCTGCGGTACTGACTGAAATTTTTATTGCGAGAAGAGTTCCAGCCACCTCTTTCCCACTGTGTACACACGCTTTCGCGCTATCCACTGGCAAGACACGATAACGAGAGAAAAAACTCATAATATGAGAAAAAGTCGCTGTCGCTGGGATTCGAACCCCTGAACTTCCCTGCTAGATGGTTACGTGGATACCAACTAGACCACCGGGGCGACCGGCCTCGAAAGATTGTAGCACACTCGATTGCCCGTCAATCAGCGACCCAAGCCTCCCCCCCCCCCCTCAAGAACAAGCCAAAATCACACACACACGAATCGTGAAAGGCACCCAAATTGAATCAAAACTAACCCAATCCACTCCACGCACCTCATCGCTACGGAGGTGGTCCTGCCCCCCCCGCACCCCCTCCTCCGACACCACCATTCCCCGCTGGAAGAGGTACGGGCAGCACTCCCTACGAAAAGCCCTTGGAGACGCAGCGGCCGCCGCTGACTCGTAGCCGCCCGCCTCCTTCGCCGCCGCCCCCTCCCGCTGGGAAGAAACGAGGGCGGGGGGTGCGGCGGCAGATCCTATTGGGCGAGTGTTGGTGGAGCCGGCGCGCCCTCTGCGCCTGGGGAGGAGGTGGTGAGCCGGTGAGACCCTCTGGCGGTGGGCCTGACCGCGCGCGCGGGGGGGGGGGGGGGGGGGGGGGGGG